CGATGCCCACGGCCCGGTCCACGTAGATCCTCAGCGTCCCCTGCGACGCCGGCGGCGGCTGGCCCAGGAACCAGCCGCTGCAGCCGGGCGCGTCGCTGTCGTCGACGTCGACGCAGCCCGCGTCGGACCAGGACGGGAAGAGGCACGCCGTCATGGGCTAGAGGGACGCGGGGAGCTTCCAGTCGTCGCGGACGGCACGTCCCAGTGCGCCGAACACACCGCCCAGCCCCGCGGGATTTTAACTCGTAACTGTAATCCAGTTTTATTTTCACTTCAATAAAAAAAATTACCACCAGGACTTCTTCGCGCGCTCCGCCTGCGCGGCGTCGCGCGCCTCCTGGTCCCGCCGGTTCTCCTGGGGGTCGCCGAAGGGCCAGAAGGGTCGAAGCTCCGGGAAGTAGTGCGTCCGGAGCTCCTCGGCGAGCGTGAAGCCCTGGGCCCGCTCGCCCGGGAGGTCGAGGCCCGCGTCGAAGTCGGCCCGGCGCCGGTCGTCGCCGAGGACCTCGTAGGCGCGCGCGACGGCCGTGAACTTGGCCTGCGACCCCCCCTCCTTGTCCGGGTGCGCGTCGCGCGACGCGGAGCGGTAGGCGCGCCGGAGCTCCTCGGGCGAGAAGTCGCAGGCGACGCCGAGGGCCGCGTAGGGGTCGAAGGGCGGCTCGCCCCCCGGCGCGCCGATTTCGCCGTCGTCGGCGACGGCGACGACGCGGTCGCGCTGGACGTCGATGAGGCGGCCGGACCGCGCCATCCGCAGCGCGATGGGCGCCCCGGGCGCGGCGACGCCGACGACCGTCGCGGCGTCGCCCGCGGCCCAGAAGCCGTCGAGCGCCGCCGTCGTCGCGACGCGCTGCCCGACGCACAGGTCCGTCGCCGCGGCGCGCGCGCAGCACGGCGCGGCGCGCGCGCGCGCGTGGCAGCGCAGGAGCCACGTGCCCAGCCCCGGGAACGTCCGGTCGAGCGCGTAGAGCGCCTCCAGCGCGTCGAGCGCGTCGCAGGGAAGGCCCAGGTCTAAGGACGCCAGGGCGAGCTCGAGGAGCGCCGCGCCGCGGCCGGCGTCGCGCCGCCCGCCCGTCCGCCGCGCGACGGCCCCTTCGCGCGCGAGGTCCGCGGCGCCGGCGAAGTCGCCCCGCCGCCGCGCGCAGAAGCTCGACGCGGCCCAGAACTCGCCGTCGCGCGGCGGCCCCGGCCCGTCCGCCGGCGCGAGGAGCGCGTCGGCGCCGTCGAAGTCGCCGTCGCGGCAGAGGTCCGCGGCGGCCCGCGCGCCCCCCGGCGCCGCGCGCGCCCGGTCCGCCGCGCAGGCTTCCGCGTCGGCGACGAGCCCCGCGCCGGCGGACGCGGCCGGGAGGAAGGCGACGGCCTCCGTCGCGGCGCCGCCGCCGCCGCGGCGCCGCGCGCGGGCCGCGTCCTCGTCGTACTGCCGCTTCTGCTCGAGGAGCTCGTCGAGCCGTTCCCGCGACATGATGCCCACGATCTGCCAGGGCCGGACGTCGTCGCCCGCGTCGCCCGCCGCGGCGACGTCGGCGCCCGCCGCCGCGGCGACGTCGGCGCCCGCCGCGCGGCGGAGCCGCCAGGCGCCGACGTCGAAGATCTTGCCGTCGCGGAAGCGGCGCCAGCGCACGGGCCGCTCCTCGTCGGGCCCGTCGACGCCGACGACCTTGCCGCGCTCGCCGCGGGCCCAGAAGCCCGGCTCGTCCGCGCGCGTCTCCGCGGCGTCGCCGACGGCCCAGTAGCGGAACTCGCGGCGGACGAGGCGCCAGGCCCTCGCGCCGCCGGGCAGGTAGTGCTTGCCCGGCGTCGCCAGCACGTCGCGGCCCGCCTCGTCGACGAGCAGCCACTCCTTCCGCGCGCCGTCGACGCCGGCGTAGCCGTCGACCTGCGCCGACGCCATTTTCCAGCCGTTGTCCACGTGTTTCCACGTGAGCTCGCAGAGCCGCGGCATGGCGTGGTCCGTCCCGTCCGCGCGCACGTAGACGCCGTCCATGCCCGGCGCGCCGCTCCCGCCGACGAAGAAGCCCGCGGGCCACTTGTCGACGACGCCCCAGCCGCCGCCGCGCCGCCGGCCGCCGACCGGGCCGGCGCCGCCGCCCGCGGGCACGAGGCCGCCGGGGGCGACGAGCCCTTGCGCGGCGGCGGCGGCGGCGCAGCAACTCAGCGCAATTCGCAGCATGGTCGCTAGGAGCGTGATGGAGCGCTGAAAACCGCTGCGCGGCGTCTTGCCGCTGCGCGTTGGCTAGTAGCTAGCTGCGCGACGCTGCTGTGCGCCCATACTGTGGCGACTGCATCTTTGCTTTCGAACTGCATATTGAGGGAAACGGATTTTTAGTTCTAACCTCGAAATCCAACCGCGTTGGCATATGGTCCATGAGGTGAACTCGTGAGTTCGGGTACGAGCATGCTGCGTCCGATCATCGCCCTCGCGTGCGTCGCCGCCGCCGCCGCGTCCGCGCGCGTCGCGCTCCTCGCGCCCCTCACGAACGGGACCCACCTCTACGGCGGCGGCTACTGGAAGAGCGCCGTGGCGGCCATGGCCCAGAGCTGCGACGACTTCAACGCCCGCGACGCGTCCGTGGTCGAGGCCTACGGCAACTGCAGCAACGCGACGCTGATGCTCGACTGCGAGGCCTTCGACACGCGCGTCGCAGGGCAGCACAAGAGAGCGAAATTCCCAACTTCAAAGGCTCATATCTCGGCCGTTTTCGACTCGTTTCGGCTGATTTTTGGACGAGCGATCATCTCTCGGGACGGTCTCGCAGCGTGGATGCTTTTGTCGGAACGCGCGCGCGCGGAACACTCACGTTGAAGCGACGTTGAATCACCCTTGTGCTGCCCAGGCGCGGCGACGGCTCCCACGCGGCGCTCCAGGTCTACGGCGCCGCCGTCTTCGGGACCGGGGACCGCTACGAGTTCCTCGCGGGCCCCGTGACGGCGGACGAGACCGTCACCCTCGGGGGCATGTCGTCCGTCTTCGGCGACACGCTCCTGTCCTACGCGGACGAGGCCATCCTCGAGGACGACCAGCGGCAGGAGGGCGCGAGCCGCGGCCTCGTCGGCAAGAGCGCGCTCCCGGGCGCCGTCTACGCGCTCTACGACCTCTTCGGCTGGGAGGAGGACACGTCCATGGTCTTCACGCGCGACGACGACGGCTCGACGCTCCAGGCCGCCTTCGCGGGGCTCACGTTCTCGAGCCAGCTCAGCGACGACTACACGCCCGGCGTCGACGTGCAGCTCACGGGCATCGTCCGGGCCTGGGGCCCGCTCCAGGCCGTCGTCTTCATCACCATCGGCGCGTCCGACCTGCCCCTCTTCGTGGAGACGGCGCGGGCCTACGGCTTCCTCGACGGCTACACGCAGTACGTCTTCGCGGACACCTCCGCCGACGGGTCGCTCGACGCGGCGCTTTTAGAGTACGCGGACGTCCTCGCGGGCGCGCTGATCGTCTCCCAGCTCGCGAGCCGCCACGACGAGCCCCGCTTCGACGCGCTGGCGTCCAAGCTCGCCGCGGCGAACGCGTCGGACGTCAACGGCCGCTACCTCGCGCCCGCGATGGCGCGCTGCTCCCGCGACGGCTGCGGCGACGTCGTCGTCGGCGCCCTCCTCGCCGACGGCGAGCTCGCCGACGTCGTCGCCGGGGGCTACTCGGCCGCGGCGGCCAAGTACGTCGCCTACGCCTACGACGCCGTCGCGTACGCGGCGGTCGATCTCTGCGGCGGCGGCGCCGGCGCGGCCTTCGCGGGCGCGTCCGGCGCCTTCGCCCTCGACCCGGACCTCCACGACGACCGGGCGAACTCCGGCGGCAACTGGTACGTCCGCGTCGTCCAGGACGGCGCGCTCCAGGCCGCGTACCGCTACGACGCCGACGCCGACGCGCTCGTCGGCCCGCTCGTCGACGTCGTCTACATGAACGGCGCGTCGACGCCCGTCACCGACGGCTCGGAGATCCTCGATTCCTGCGCGACCGACGAGTTCTACAACGCGACGGCGCACGCGTGCGAGGCGTGCGCGGCCGGCGCGGCCGTCTCCGACGACGGCTTCGGCTGCGACGTCTGCTCCGCCGGGACCTACGGCCTGTCGGGGCTCTGCGTCCCCTGCACGGCCCTCAACGAGTACGGCGACACGGCGGGCGCGTCGGCCTGCGCCTCCTGCCCGGCGAACACGTACCGCGCGCGGTCCACGGGCGTCGGCCGCTCGGCCAGCGAGTGCCGCTGCTTCCAGAACTACGTGTCGTCGTCGTTCAACGCGAGCCTCTCCGCGCGCGACGAGGCCTTCCTGGGCGTCGAGTCGACCTGGGGCGACGTCGGCGTGGCGTGCCTGCCCTGCCCCGACGGCGCGACCTGCCCGGGCGAGCGCGCGCCGCCGAACAACAAGCGGGGCTACTACGGCGACCCCTGGGAGCCCACGGAGTTCTACGACCGCTGCGACGCCTGCGACACGCACTACGCCTGCAGCGACGGCTGGGAGGGCGCCATGTGCAAGACCGTCAAGAGCCCGGACTTCTTCACGGTCTCGGAGCTCGGGCCCTGGCGGTGCCCGGACTCGAAGGCGTACCGCGCGCTGAACGTACTCGGGGGCGTCGCCTGCGTCGTCTTCCTCTGGCTCTACGTCAACGAGAACCTGCTCGACGCGTACCCGTCGCTCGACCTCCTCACGTACTTCATGCAGCTCGTCGCCATCATCTGCCGCTACCGCTTCGCGCACTTCCCGACGGGCATCGGGCCCTACGCCGTCGTCCTCGACGTGGCCCTCTTCGACATCGACGTCTTCCGGCCGACGTGCGTCATGGAGTGGAACTTCCGCACGTCCGTCATCGCGCAGATCTTCGTCGTCGCCGCGGGCGCGCTCACGGGCGCGCTGCCCATCGCGGCGTCCATGGCGAGGAAGCTCCGGCGCGAGCGGTCCTACCGGAGCTTCACCGCCGTGCGGAAGAGCTTGCATTTTTACGGCGGCGCCTTCGGCGCGCGCGCGGCGTCCGTGACCGCGGGCGTCGGGTCGCTCATCATGGTCCAGCACACGACGTTCACGTTCAACGCGTTCGCGGCGCTCCGCTGCGAGTCCTTCGTCGGGCGGCCGGGCACCTACTTCCGCGAGGACCCGACGCGCCGCTGCGACACCTTCGAGGGCCACGCGCTCACGGCCGTGTCGGTCGCGACGCTCGCGGTGCTCGTGCTCGGGTTCCCGCACGCGATCATGCTCGCGATCAACTACGAGACGTCGAAGCGGCAGGGCGTCCACAACCCGCACGTCCAGGCGCGCCTCGGCTGGGCCTTCGGCGCCTTCCGGAGCCCGCACCACGGCTGGCTCATCCGCCGCGTCTGGCTCACGATCTGGGTCTGCGCGGTCGCGACGCTCGTCGACAACCCGCTGCTCCAGATCTGCTTCACGCTCGTCGTGCTCCTCCACGCCTACAGCGAGCACTGCGCGCACCAGCCCTACCACAGCGAGCGGCTCAACACGCTCGAGACCTACGGCCTCGCGTGGACGGCGACGACGGTGACGACGGCGATTTTGCTCCAGGACGGCAAGCGCTGGGTCAAGCCCTGGTTCGCGCTGCTCCTCGCGGGCCAGGTCGCCCTCTTCCTCCGCGTTTTAGCGTCGGCGGCCGTCGAGTCCATGAACCGGCGGTCGAGCGCCGCGTCCGTGGCCGAGCTCCGGAAGCGCGTCGTCGCCGCGCGCGCCGCCGCGGTCGGCGGCGCGCCCGAGGACCCCGGCGCGCCGCCGGACCCCCGGGGAACGCCCCCCCTCCTCTCCGACCCGTCCCTGAGGCACCTCCAGGACTCCGCGGCGCACCTCGTCGCGAACCTCGTCGGCGCCGAGGACGACTCGCTCGACGGCGACGCGAAGGCCGCGGTCGACGCGCTCGGCGAGCTCACGAACGGCCTCCACCCCGTCGCCTGGCGCGCCTGGGTCGCGCAGGACGCGCCGGGGGACCTGGAGCTCGCGTCGGGCGTCGCCGGCGCCCTCGCGACGATCATCGGCGACGAGTCGTTCACTGTGTGCAAATCAAATCTTCAACCCGACTTCAATGTGCGCGTATTCGAATGTGTCGATACAAGCTCTTCGGCTGGACTTCGAGAACTCGACGAGAGCGATCGATCCGTCCAAAAATCATCCGAATCGACTTCGATTTGACCGAGCTAGAGAATTCTCAAGTTTGGTCAGGACCACCCAAACCAGTGGTTGAATTCGGCACAGGTCGTTCACGTCCGTCTACAGTTCCGACGCGCGGTCCGCGTACTGGAAGACGCTCGCGGCGCGGTTCCCGGGCATGATCGACTTCGCGGCGAACATGGACGGCGGCGAGCGCGTCGTCTTCTTCGGCGCGCTCGCGCGGCTCCAGCGCTACGTCAAGGCCGCGGGCGAGAACCCGGCCGCGGCGGCGCTGCACCACCTCGTCGACGAGCGCGACCGCGCGTCCGTGCTCTACTTTCTGTGCGCCTGCGGCGAGGAGGACCACGCGCGGCTCGTGGCGCTCCTGCGCCAGGTCGTCGCGCGCCTGAAGGCCGCGAGGCTGCCCCGGTGGAAGCGCGAGCTTTTTTTGCCCTACGCGCTCGTCCGCGCGGTGTCGCGCCGCGACTCCGTGCAGCGGCGCGCGTCCCGGGCCCTCGCGGCGGCGGCCGTGGACGCGGGCGACCTGCTCTTCGACGTCGACGACGTCGCGGGCGCCGCGGCCAGGGCAGCAAAAGAGAGCGAAATTCCCAACTTCAAAGGCTCATATCTCGGCCGTTTTCGACTCGTTTCGGCTGATTTTTGGACGAGCGATCATCTCTCGGAACGGCCTCGAAGCGTGGACGCTTTTTCCGGGACGCGCGCGCGCGGAACACTCACGTTGAAGCGATGTTGAATCACCCTTTTGCTGCCCAGGCCGCGGCGGACCTCGCGGCCCACTTCGACGACGTCGAGGACCGGGCCGCGAACCTGGCGGCGCACGCGCTCGACGCGACGCCCGACGAGCACCTGCCGCCGGAGCCGGACATGAACCCGACCTTCGCGGCGGAGACGTCGCCGGCGGAGAAGGCGTCGCCGAAGCGCCGGAAGCGCCGGTCCGCGCGGCGGCGCCGCGACCGGTCGCGGACCGAGGCGAGCCACTTCTCCGGCGGCGGCGCCTTCTGCCTCGCCGCCGGCGGCGACGACCAACCCTGCGGCGCGTCGTGCTTCGACGCCCCCGCGGAGCCGGAGCGGCGCGCGCGCCGCGGCCGCGCCGCGGCGAAGCGCGGCGAGTCGCCCGCCGGCGGCGCGCGCGTCCTCGAGGGCGACATGGCGCAGTAAGTTAGTAGTAGACGCAGCAGGCGCGGTCGTCGAAGCAGCGCTGGCTGCGGCCGCGCGGCGGCGCGCCGCCCGGGCACGGTGTGCACGCGGCCGCGAGGCCCAGGGAGAAGGTCCCCGCGGGGCAGGGCTCGGGCGCGAGCGCCCCCGCGGCGCAGGCGTGGCCCGGCGGGCAGTCGCGGTCGCAGCGGTCCCGGCCCGCGAGGGGCTGCCACTTGCCCGGCGGGCACGGGAGCTGCGCGCCGCCGACGCACCGCGTGCCCGGCGGGCAGGGCGCCTCGGCCGTGCGGTAGGCCTCGGCGCCGCCCGTCGTGTAGTGGCCCACGGAGACGACCGTCGGCGCGCGCTCGCGGCCCGTCGGCGGGCAGAAGACGCCCGCGTGGCCGCAGGGCCGCGGGCAGTCCGAGAGGAGCACCGCGTCCGGGTCCGCGTAGCACCCCGGCGCGACGGGCCCGTCGCAGGCCGGGTCCGACTGGAGGTAGCGCCAGCCGTAGCGGAAGGGGTCGCAGGGGACCCGCAGCCCGCCGGCGCAGGCGTGGCCCGGCTCGCAGGGGAGCATCGCGTCGAGCGTCGCCTTCGCCGGGTCCGCGGCGGCGCGCGCGGCCGCGTCCGCGCCGCCGTGGACGCCGTAGTAGCCCGGCGGCACGGCCAGGGGCGCCTCGCTGCCCGTCGGGCAGACCCGGTCCGGCCCGCCGCAGGGCGCCTCGCGCGGCGACGTCGCCGCGGCGCCGCAGTAGTAGCCGCGCTCGCAGGGGCCGTCGCACGCGGCCGTCGTCGCGTTCGACATCGCCGCCGCGCCGTAGCGGCCCGCGGCGCAGGGGAACCTGCGGCCGTCGACGCAGTAAGACCCCGCGGGGCAGGGCGCCTCGGCGCTCCGGACGTCCTCGGAGACGCCGGCGTCGCCCTCGACGCCCTCGACGCCGTAGTAGCCCGGCCGCACGAAGGCCGGCGCCGCGGAGCCCGCGGGGCAGAAGCGGTCCGCGCCGCCGCAGCGCCGCGCCGTCGCCGTCGTCGACGCCGCGGGGCAGTAGTGGCCCGCGGCGCAGGGGCCCGCGCACGTCGGCCGCGTCTCGCGCCGGCCGTCGCCGTAGCGCCCCGCGGGGCAGGGCCGCCGGACGCCGCCGGCGCACCAGCGGCCCGGCCCGCACGCGCGCTGCGCTTTTCGCGCGTAGCGCGTCGCGTTGAAGGCGAGCGCGAGCGCCGCGTCCGCCGCGGCCGCGGCGGACGCGTTGAGCGCGAGGCAGCTGCCGTTCCGCGCGTGAAACACCAAGCGCTCGCCCGCGGCGAGGGGCGCGCCGCCGGCCGCGCGGACGCACGCGCACGCGAGGCGCCCGGGCTCGTCGCGCGCCGTGTCGGCGTCGCAGGCCGCGCAGAGCGCCAGGTCGTCGCCGTCGACGGTCTTAAAAGTCCCCGCGGGGCAGGCGTCGCAGGGCGCCGTCGGCACGCGCGTCGCCGCGCCCGAGATCGACGGCGTCGCCGCCAAGGACGCGTCGACGACGCCCGACGCGTTGCGCCAGCGGCCCGGCGGGCAGCTCGCGGCCGCCGCGAGGCCGTCCGCGTCGTCGGCCGTCTCCGTGTAGTAGCCCGCCGCGACGGCGAGCGGCGCCGCGAGGCCGCTCCGCGGGCAGACGAGCTCGGGCCCGCCGCAGTAGGCCGCCGTCGGCCGCGTCGAGCCCGCCGGGCAGTGGAAGCCCGCCGCGCAGGGCCCGTCGCACGCCTCGTCCGCGAGGCCGAAGGACCGGCCGAAGCGGCCCGCCGGGCAGGCGAACGCGAGGCCCCCGACGGCGTAGGACCCCGGGCGCGCGAGGACCTGGGCCGTGCGCGTCGTGCCGTCGCCCCGGGGCCCGCCGACGCTGTAGTGGCCCGCGGCCACGGCGAGCGGCGCGACCATGCCCGCGTCCGGGCAGAGGAGCGCGTCGCCGCCGCAGGGCACGGCGTCGCCGCGGACGGCGCCGCGGCTCGGGACGTAGTAGCCCGGCGTCGCGTTCCCGCACGCGGCGGCCGACGTCGCGCCGTAGGCCGCGTTGAACGTGCCCGCGCCGCAGAGCTCGCGCGCGCCCGAGGAGCAGTAGCCGCCGGGCTCGCACCGCGCCTCGGCGACGCGCACGGCGTCGCCGGCGCCGCCGACGGCGTACCAGCCGTCGCGCACGGGCTGGGGCGCCGTCGAGCCCAGCGGGCAGAAGACCGTCGCGTCGCCGCAGGCGACGCCCTCGGGACTCGTCCGCCGCGGCTCCGCGCAGTAGCGGCCCGCGGCGCAGGGGCCGGCGCAGCGCGGGTCGGTCTCCATGGCGGCGTCGCCGTAGCGGCCCGCGGGGCAGGCGCGCGCGAGGCCGCCGTCGCAGTAGGTCCCCGGGCCGCAGGGCGCCTGGCCGACGGAGTGGTTCCGCGCGCGGTCGCCGCGGGCGACGTTGTAGGTCCGGTCCGAATCGTCGGCCTTGCCGAAGACGCTGTAGAACCCCGCGTCCACGGCGACGGCCGCCGCGGACCCCTCGGGGCAGTAGACGTCCGCGCCGCCGCAGGGCTCCGCGTCGCCGTCGACCGCGCCAAACCGCGGGCACAAAAAGCCCGCGGCGCAGGCCTCGCAGACGCTGGCGTTGAGCGCCTCGGGCCCGGACGCGTTGCCGAAGGTGCCCGGCGGGCACGCGCGGTAGGAGCCCTCCGCGCACCAGCCGCCCGCGGGGCACCGCTCCTCCGCGGCGAAGCCCGCGCGCGGGCCGAAGCCGCGAGAGACGGCGACGTAGCCCGGCCGCGTCCGCTCGGGCCGCGCGCTCCCCGCGGGGCAGAAGCGGGTCGCGTCGCCGCAGCCGAGGGCCGTCGGCGACGTCGAGCCCGCGGGGCAGTGGTAGCCCGCCTCGCACGCGCCCTCGCAGGCCCCGCCGGCCTCGGCCTCGCGCGACCCGAAGCGGCCCGCGGGGCACGGCGCCCTCGCGCCGCCCCGGCAAAAGGCGCCCGCCGGGCAGGGCGCCTCGGCGGCGAAGCCCGCGCCGGCGCCCGCGCCGGGCTCCGTGGCGTAGTAGCCCGCGCGCGTCGCCGTCGGCGCCGCGGACCCCGCGGGGCAGAACTCCGCCGCGCCGCCGCAGGCCGCCGCGCGCGGCGACGTCGACCGCGCGGCGCAGTAGTAGCCCGCCTCGCACGCGCCGGAGCAGGCCGCCGACGCGAGCGACGCCGACGCGCCGAAGCGCCCGGCGGCGCAGGCGTGGCGCCGGCCGTCGACGCAGTAGAAGCCGGCGCCGCAGTCCGCGGACCAGCCGCTGCAGGAGCCCCAGAGGCTCGCGTTCGCCGTGAGGTAGGTGCCCTCGGCGCAGACGTCGGCGGCGGCGCGCGGCGCGAGGCACGCCGCGGCCGCGAGGCAGCCCCAAAACCTTGCCATGTCGCAGCGGCTCTTTGGGTGTTGTCAACGTTGGCTACTGCGGAAACCTTGCCACTAATTGGAGCATGTACGGCAAAAGTGGCTGAGAGTCTGGGCAGCGCTGGAAGGCTGTCGTTAGCGGACGGATTGCGCGGTCGCGGTGAATTCGCGCCTTCATGAGCACGCCCAGCCCGGCGCCGACCGCCGACGCCCCGCGCGGCGGCGGCGCCACCACGGAGACGCCGACACTGGTTGCGAGTTGCAGTGGATACCCCGTCATGAACTTTTGCAAGCCAAGACAAACTTTGAAGAAATCCTAGCTTCTAGAGGGCTAGAGACGGTGTCTCCGCAAGGAGTATTTCAGCGGCCGATGATGGAATCTCCACCTCACTTCTCTGCCGGAGTCGTTCGGCGACCTCGCGAGCCTTGGCACGCTCGATCTGTCCGGCAACGCCCTCGCGTCGCTGCCGGAGTCGTTCGGCGACCTCGAGAGCCTCGTCTGGCTCGACCTGTCCTACAACACCCTCGAGTCCCTGCCGGATTCGTTCGGCGGACTCGAGAGCCTCGTCACGCTCTCCCTGGACAGCAGCGCCCTCACGTCGCTGCCGGAGTCGTTCGGCGGCCTCGAGAGCCTCGTCACGCTCGAGCTGTACGACAACGCCCTCGCGTCGCTGCCGGAGTCGTTCGGCGACCTCGCGAGCCTCGTGACGCTCGGCCTGGACGGAAACACCCTCACGTCGCTGCCGGAGTCGTTCGGTGGCCTCGAGCGCCTCACCACGCTCAACCTGGGAAACCACGCCCTCACGTCGCTGCCGGAGTCCTTCGGCGGCCTCGCGAGCCTCGTTGAGCTCAACCTGTACAACAACGCCCTCGCGTCGCTGCCGGAGTCGTTCGGCGACCTCGCGAGTCTCGTCACGCTCTTCCTGAACGACAACGCCCTCGCGTCGCTGCCAGAGTCGTTCGGTGGCCTCGCGAGCCTCGAATACCTCATGCTGTACAACAACGCCCTCGCGTCGCTGCCGGAGTCATTCGGCGGCCTCTCGAGCCTCGTCGAGCTCAGACTGGGAGGAAACGCCCTCGCGTCGCTGCCGGAGTCGTTCGGCGACCTCGCGAGCCTCGTCACGCTCTACCTGCACAACAACGCCCTCGCGTCGCTGCCGGAGTCGTTCGGCGAACTCGAGAGTCTCGTCACGCTCAACCTGCACACCAACGCTCTCAAGTCGCTGCCGGAGTCGTTCGGCGACCTCGCGATCCTCGTCACGCTCTACCTGCACGAAAACGCCCTCGCGTCGCTGCCGGAGTCGTTCGGCGACCTCGAGCGTCTCACCACGCTCAACCTGTACAACAACGCCCTCGCGTCGCTGCCGGAGTCGTTCGGCGACCTCGCGAGTCTCGTCACGCTCTACCTGAACGACAACGCCCTCGCGTCGCTGCCAGAGTCGTTCGGTGGCCTCGAGAGCCTCGAACACCTCGACCTGAACGACAACGCCCTCGCGTCGCTGCCGGAGTCGTTCGGCGGCCTCGCGAGCCTCGTCACGCTCTACCTGCGCAACAACGCCCTCGCGTCGCTTCCGGAGTCGTTCGGCGATCTCTCGAGCCTCGTCACGCTCGAGCTGCGCAACAACACCCTCACGTCGCTGCCGGAGTCGTTCGGCGGCCTCGAGAGCCTCGTCACGCTCTACCTGAACGACAACGCCCTCGCGTCGCTGCCGGAGTCGTTCGGCGGCCTCGCGAGCCTCGTCTCGGTCGACCTGCGCAACAATGCCAATCTCTCGAGCCTCCCCGCTTCCCTGCGTGAGCTCAGCCACCTGGGAGCGGTATCACTTGCGGGTACGGCTATCTGCGCGAATGGCGGGGCTCCGGCGCTCGATTCCGCGTTCGACGACCTGATCGAGGCCGGCGTCGTCTACTGCGAGAGTGCATGCGCACCTGCGTGCTACGGCTATACGTGCGATGAACACAGCGTGGCCGGACATTCCTGCGCCGAGATAGAAACCTGGGGTTGCGACTGCTCCGGCTGCGCCTGCCCGCTCGACTGGACCTCCGAGGGTGCGTGCGCGCCTACGTGCGACGGCTATACGTGCGATCAAGCGAGCATGGTCGGGTATTCCTGCGCCGAGCTAGAAACCTACGGCTGCGACTGCTCCGGCTGCGCCTGCCCGCTCGACTCGACCTCCTACTCCTACTCCGACTGACATCATCAACCAAAGCCGCGCGTAGATCTCGCGCCGCGGCGCCGAGATCCCGGCGCGGTCGGCGCTCGCCGAGGCTAAAAAAAGAACAAAAGAACACTTAGACCGCCGCGCTCACGCCGGCGGCCGCCGCTCCGTGTCGCCGGGCGGCGGGAAGCACGGCGGCGGCGCGGCGGCGTCCGCGACGTCCGCGGGCGCCGCGGCGGCGGGCGGCGGCGGCGGCGCCGGGGCCGCCGCGGCGGGCGCGGGCGGCGGCGCGGGCGCGAGGGGCGGCAGCGGCGGCGGCGGCGCGCGCGGCGGCGGCGGCCGCGGCGGCGGGAAGGCGGACCGCGCCGCCGCGGGCGACGCGGGCGCGGGCGCGCGCGGCTTCGGCGCGGGCGGCGGCGGCGGCCGCGGCGGCGGCTCCGCGCGCGGCCGCGGCTCGAGGGACCGGAGCGCGCCG